GAGATGAGTGATTATTTGCTTGATATGCCATTGTTTAATATACTCTAAAAATGGTGGAGGATTGTTGGTATTTTTAGAGTAAATGAATGGAAATTTAGAATATCTCAAAAGGATTCATGTTTCACGTGTATTACAAGTATAGTGGAGGAGATAAATGCTTGTAAAAGACGTGGTATGAGTTGGCTAAGTGTTAAGGATACGTCGAAAGAGTTTACGTTCGGTTTTGAACGTAAAGGTGATCTCAGAAAAAATGGGAGGGCAGCTCGAAAATATGAGCTGGCAGCTTATTTTTTCTGAGGAATAAAGCTCATAAATAAATGGGCGGTAGCTCGGAAAAACCGGGAGGGCAGCCCGTTTTTTCTGAGCAATTCAGACATAAACGGGCGGGTAGCTCGACAAAACGGGCGGGCAGCCCGTTTTTTCTGAGCAGTTCGGATTGAGCGAAAAATCGCGATCGTTCAGGAAAAACTTCCGATTTCTTCACACCTTTCGACATTTGGAGTGTTTATTAACACCCCTGGACATCCTAACACGAAAAAAAAACTGATCTAAATCGTTTTTTGAGAGATTTGAGAGCACTTTTGTGGTTGTTCTTGCAAAACACCCACAAAAGCCTTTTGTTCATCTTCTTCTTGCAATTTCTTGTGTTTGTGTTCTTAGTAGAGCAAACTAAGATCACTTCTCTCTTCATTGTATCTCAAAGACGTATTCCGGAAAGTCCTTTGCTCGTATAGGACGGAATAACGTTTTTAGGAAAGTGTATCACGTCTTGAAGAGTTATCCGGTTCCTATTTACTTTTCTGTTATTGTTCTTCTTTTTATATCCCAGATTCCTAACAATCTAAAAACGTTATCCACTCGAGGATGACTACTTCTGTGAGAGATCTTACCATAGACTTTCATAAACTCGATAAGTTCGAGGGCGTGAGATTCCGAAGGTGGCAGAAGAAGATGCATTTCCTCCTAACGACGTTGAACGTCGTCTACGTGATAAGCACTCCTAGGCTGGAAGAAACCGAAGAGGAGACATTGGCAGCGGCTCGCGCACAGAACAAATGGGACAACGATAACTACGTGTGTTACGGCCACATCATTAACGGTATGTCCGATGAACTTTTTGATGTTTATCAATACATGGATACGGCCAAAGCCTTGTGGGATTCGCTGGAGGCTAAGTACGTCTCTGACGATGCCTCTAGCAAGAGATTTCTTGTAAGTAGTTTTAACTCTTACAAGATGGTGGACTCAAGACCGGTCATGGAGCAATTCCATGAAATACAAAGGATCTTAAGTCAATTCACACAACACAAACTGCAGATGGATGAAACCATCAAAGTTTCATCCATTGTTGATAAACTTCCACCGAGTTGGAAGGATGTCAAACGTTCCCTGAAACACAAAAAAGAGGATATGTCTCTTGAACAATTGGGAACACATCTTCGCATCGAGGAGGATCTCCGGATGCAAGATGGGAAAGGCGTTTTTCCTCTTACTACAGTGAATGTTGTAGAGGATGAGAAACGTGGAGTCAAAAGACAAGGAAAGAAACCCTCCAAGGGCAATCCTAAGAAGAAGTCAAAGTCGAGTGCGACTTGTTGGTTTTGCAATAAACCAGGGCACTTCAAATGGGATTGCTACTCGTGGAAGAATAAACACGAGAAGAAGAGTGTTCATGGTCAATGAAACAAAGCCCTTGACCAATCCACTCAAGGTAACAATAATTGTTACTTGACAAATTCGGATATGAATTTTGTTAGTATGATTTACGAGTTAAATCATGTTCAGGAGGGTGACCAATCGTGGTGGATCGATTCAGGAGCAACTCGACATATTTGTAAAGAACGTGAGCTTTTCAAGACTCTAGAAGTCATAGAAGACGGAAGCGTTCTTTACATGAGAAACAACTCGACGGTCAAGGTCCAAGGAAAGGGGCAAGTAGAGTTGTTGCTTACATCCGGAAAGACATTAACCCTTAGGGAAGTTCTTTTTGCTCCGAGTGTAAGGAGAACAAAAGGAAGATATACAGATATATATATATATATACATGTATATATATATAATGGCATGTATAGTGCTAATTAACTTTATAGTCATAATATAATCACATGCGTCCTGAATTCAGCCGGTCCACCAACTATCATAACATACTCTACGTATAATATAAGCTGGCCTTCGCAATAAAGCCTTATTAGTTCTATTTTAAAAAAGGACCATAGACCAACTACACATATATAATAAATGTATATATATATATATATGATAAAAAGGAGCAAAAACAAAATATATTAAGTGAAACGTCTGGTTTATTACCACTATAGGCTATAGCTCATGCAATTATTATTTAGTCAACTCTAAATTCTATGGCAAAAAATATAATATCGTCTTTAAGAAACAAAATAGTTCTTCTCTAAAGATATTAGATCTTAAAAAAAAAAAATTTAATTTAAAACTATATATATACACACACTCCAAAACAATAATTCGCGTAACGGATATAACAATAATCAATTCCAACCTATAATTCAAAGATAATTCATTTAATTTTGTCACCATGTTCTTTTCTGCAGCACCGTCTCAATATATTATAGTATTAGTTTATTATACGTTATTATAAGTTTAATACAGCTTTTTACACGAATGGTGAAAACACTTTTAGCGGTAATTTCTGAAAAAGTGTACGATTCGCCTAAAGTTTATATCTGATCTCATCCCATTTTATTCTTTCTAAGCGAATTGTAGCTTTCTCTTTAATGCATTATACTAAATTTCATTAATGCATTATACTAAGTGGATCACACGGTTTGGATATATATATTTTTTAAAATTGGATATCTTGAACCAAATCCCAGATTAATCTTGGATCTAAAATCAATAATGTGATTTGGATTACTCACTCAATTTCTAAATTTGAAGTTCGAATTCGAGACGAGACACGTCCCGTTTTATCGAGTGAACTATTTTAAATTTGGTGGTTTGGATATAAAATTATTTTTTTATATAATAAATAATAAATAATAATAATAATAATAATAATGTATGTTTTATTGATTTTTTTTTTGTTTCTTAGAAGTAAAATACCTAAAGAGGGGTGGTTGGTTAGATGTGTATATATATTTGTGGATTTTTGCATATATTTATTATCATTATATATTTGCTCTTGTAAATATTGACTTTTGTAAAGTTCCAATTAAATGTTAACGTTTACATGTAAAAGCCGATCTAGTTAATGGGCCCTTCTTTTATTCGATGGGCCCACTTTGCAGAGCCCATGTTTGGATGTTAATGTTATACGTTCAGAATTATGTCTCTTCGTATTTACTGGTTTTCCTTCTTTCATTATTCGTATCCAGTTATATCATATATAAATAAATATATGTATATATATATATATATATATATATTATAATGGATGCGAATATATATATCGTTTGGTTATTACATCATTCTCATATACATTTGTTAACTATGTTTTATTTCACTTGAATATACAAAAATCAAATACAATTTTTTGTCGTCACTAATAAATAGATAGTATTAGTGTATAGATAATTCGCATGTGATTATTGTTGTACACATCAAAGGCAACAAACTTTATTTGTTGGACTGTTGGGTTTTTTATGCATTTTATAACTTTAATATATATGTGCAAAATATATGAACTAAAATGCGCTTTGTATGTTCCCACTCGAATGTGGTACTCATACATATATATATATATATATAAGGGCAAATTCTACATGCTTTATAGATCATAGTGTGGAGAGTGGACCCATGTTTTTAAAGTTGACCCAAAATCTTGACAAAAAAAGACACACACAAAATAAATATTATTTTAATCGAGATGTGGAATGATGGAGCTTAAGTAGGGTGGGCGTTTCGGGAAACGGTTCGGGTTCGGGACGAAAATTGATCAGTTCGGTTCTTTCGGTTTTACAAAAATAGATACCAATCGATTTTTATATTGTATTCGGTTGGTTTCGGTATCGGTTCGGTTCGGTTCCGGTTTTTATTAAAAAAAGGATAGATTTTCTTTAAAAATATTCGGTTTTTCGGGATTTTTAAAGTTCGGTTCGGTTCGGTTTCGGAAAAATTCGGTTCTCTAAAAATGGTACCGTTCGGGAATTAATAACGATTTCGGGTCGGAAAAAATACCGTTTTTTCGGTTCGGTTCGATCTGGTTCCGAAGAACTGAACCAAAACGCCGAGCCCTAAGCTCAAGTCGAGTTTTTTATGGAGACATTTGTTTATTTTTATAAGAGTCCAAAAAAGTATTAATCAAAATATTGAATTTCATTTACAAAAAAAAAATATATTGAATTTTTATTAAAATTAATTAATAAAAAACCAACGGAATTATGTGTCCCCGTTTGATCAAACACACGTCCATTCATGCCAACAAGGGACTCTCGAACTAGAGATTTCTTGTAAACAAAAAAAGTGGCATTATCAATTTATATATGGGTAGATAATTTATCATTTTGCATAAATTTGGTTAGATAATTAATATGTGATTTTTGGTCGATATATTACATTATGGTTTGTAGACACTTCATAACAATCTATATCGTCTGATCATAACACACAGTCTTGAACACAATTTTCACTCATGATTTTTTTACAATATATCGATGATGTGCAAACTATATATATATATACACACACGACATTGCGATAAAACAAAATAGAATTATAAACAAATTAGTATTATATATATACATATATTTTATATGTGTGTATTTCAAGTTCAGATTCAACAGTAGACCCGCAATTAACAGCATATATTGGACAAATATTTACTACGAAGACCTTTATTTATACATAAACATATATATTACATGCATCCATACAGCTAAAAACCGAGCTAAATTAGTACATTAAATATAACAAAACACACACACACACACACAAACATATATAGCTAAATAAAAACATAAAACTTAGACTCGGTGGTTGTCGGAACTCAAGAACGAAACTAGATTTCGGAAAGTAGAGACATCACAAGGCAAGACGATCTTGTTCCGATGAACTTCGCTGAAGCCGAACTCGTCGGCCGCCTTGTCTAGAAGCATCTGGAAACTAGGGTTCTTCAAGAACCTTGTGGGGACCACGAATCTCGCCATCTCCATCCCCACGTACACTACGAAATGCCCTTTCGGCGTTTTTCTCGGCCATCTTCGTCCATCTTCTTCTTGTTTGTCTTCGTCTTTGTCGATGCCATGCATATCTACTACTCTGTTTGGCATGGTTAAATTTGACCAAAGTTTTGTACGTACTTGGATATATAGTGTTATATATACATGTGTGTATATATATATGTACGAAAGATTTGTAGGGTATAGTTTGTGTTTGTGTTTCCTTGCGAGTTCAATGGACTTTGTACCGGTTAGATATTGAGTTTATATAGATAGAAGAGCTTGGAGAAGTGTGCCAATTTGTGTACGATCACGGGGTGGCATATACGCATGGTCCATCGTAATATCATTATTGTTCTTATTATAATAACGTGGAATGGCATTAGCATCCCCCAAATAATCAATATCCTTCTTGTTCCACTAATCTAAATTAGTGTTTTCGTCAAATTATTTATTATAGTTATAGGTAGTGGATTATATATATATATATCAAAGTTCATGTGCGAATGGACGAATATATATATATAGTTTAAGAATGGATTACACTCCATAAAAACATATTTGGTGCCTAATTGCACATGGCTTTGCTACAAACAATGTCTTTAGAATTCGAAAACGCAATAGTTATGGTTTTTATATGATCTAAAAACATAATTACATGTATAATAAAATGATACATTCGCGTGTAAAATGATACAAGTCGTCACGTATCTCTGATAACACTCTGAAGTGGGAGAGAAGAGCTGGATCGCAAGATTTAATAATTCCCCAAAAGTATCCAAGGAAAAAAATCACCAATGAAATACGGTTTTATATAAACAATATTAGGGTTTTGAGAAAGTGTTTCTCATTGATCAAGACGTGTACATGATGCAGAATATATATACACTTGAGTATGCTACGATTATGGTAACTAAATAACATGAAATAAGGAGAAGAATATGCAGAATATTAACATCAAATATTTTAAAAGATATCCTTCTATTACGCCCCCGCAAGATGAGGCTCGTATGCGAGGCCAATCTTGACTCGAAGGAGATCAAAACGGGCGCGAGGAAGAGGTTTGGTGAGAGCATCCGCTAGTTGGTCTTGTGAGGAAACATGAGTGACACGGAGGACGCCATCTTGAACTAATCCACGAATGAAATGGTAGTCTATAGCAACATGCTTCATTCTGGAGTGGAATACTGGATTGGCACAAAGATAGGTGGCGCCCACATTATCACAGTATATCGCCGGAGGTGTGGAGATCCCAATGCCAAGTTCCGATAAGAGCGACGATATCCATTGTATCTCGGCCGCTGTTGATGCCACAGACTTGTATTCCGACTCTGTCGAGGATCGTGCCGCCGAGCGTTGTTTCTTGGATGACCAAGAAATGGGATGGCGACCAAGGTAGACAATATGAGCGCTTGTAGATGTGAAATCATCCCGGTTACCGCCCCAGTCAGCATCCGAGAAGGCGTGGAGATTGATGGTGTTGTCGGCTGGCATGAAGATGCCGAGTGAAGACGAGCCAACAAGGTATCGGAGGACACGTTTAGCCGCTTGCCAATGATCGGATGTCGGGCGGTGCATAAACTGGGATAACTTGTTGACCGAGAAGGCAATGTCGGGTCGCGTAAAGCTGAGGTATTGGAGACTCCCCACGACATTGCGAAATTCTGATGGATCATCAAGGACAGTCCCCGAGTTCAACACAAGAGATGTGGTGGAGGACATGGGTGTGTGGACCGGTTTGGCCTGCATCATATTAGTCCTCTTCAATAGATCAAGAATATACCGTTTTTGGGTAAGATGTAGGCCAGTCGCGGAACGGTTAACTTCAACGCCCAAGAAAAATGTTAAGTCTCCAAGGTCTTTAATGGAGAAACGGTCGGCAAGCATAGAGATGAACCGTTGGCAGCATGATGGTGAGTTTCCGGTGACGACGATGTCGTCAACGTAGACCAGAACATAGAGTATGACGTCGCGATCTCGGAGGACAAAGAGAGAGGTGTCCGCGAGCGAGTTGTGGAACCCCGAGGCTAGGAGAAACTGTCGGAGTTCGTTGTACCATGCACGTGGGGCTTGTTTCAAGCCATATAGAGCTTTGTGCAGCTTGCATACATGGTTGGGGCGGTCACGATCGATGAAACCCGGAGGTTGTACCATGTAGACGTCGTCTTGAAGGTGACCTTGGAGAAAGGCGTTGTTTACATCAAGTTGACGTAAAGACCATCCATGTGAGACGGCAATGCTGAGAACAAGCCGAATGGTTGCGGGCTTGATTACCGGACTAAAGGTGTCGTGATAATCAATGCCCGGTCGTTGATGGAAGCCTTTCGCCACAAGTCTCGCTTTGCACCTGTCAAAAGAGCCATTAGCACGTCGTTTAATCCGAAATACCCACTTACAACCAACAATGTTTTTGGAAGGATCCGATGGAACTAAGTCCCATGTCCCGTTCTTGACGAGAGCATCAAACTCCTCCGTCATGGCTGTAATACCCCGATTCCCGTATAAATTATTTAAATTATTTTCGGGAATAAAAAGAGGAAAACAAGGTAAAAATATAGAGAATATTTCAATGAAGATCTAGAAGAAAACGACATTCGATTTGACTGAGAAACAAGGAAGTTATGAGCAAACGAAAATTGAGTAGAATTTGGAAATTCGGAATTCACAAGTTATTCGAGGTACGGACGTTTCGAGTTGTACCTCATCTTGTAAATATGAGTTTCCAATAATCTATTGATTGGACATGAAAGAGGACGGGACTGCTAAAGGCGGAACGAACGGACCACGAACGAGCGAGGAGCTGGGCCGAAATTGGGCCCAGACCGTCCGTTCTAGGCCCAGAACGGACGGTCTGCTGAACAGAACACGCAAGTGGCCAACTTGCTGCCTTGGGACGCGTTTTTCTCTGCGTTCCCGGGGCCCACCGGCGTCAAATCTCCGACCAATCCGCTCAGGGCGTTGCAGGCTTGACCATGGGCCTGGGTTCGAGCCCATGTCGCCTGCCCCACGCGGCTAAAAACACCCCCAAAAGCTGGGAGACAGCCATTCTCGGCCAAAAGAAGAAGAAAAGAGAAAGAGAGGAAAAGAGAGGGAAAGGGGGAGAAAGAAGGAGAGCCAGGGCCAGGGAAGCTCGGGGAAGCAAGGAGGGACATCCCAAGGGTGTCTAGGAGAGGTTTCCGGTGAGGAACATACCGGAAAACGCCACGAAAGCCGGCCAAACCAGATCTGAGTAAAACAGAGGTGAGTGGCTCGAGTTCCATCTGTGTGAGCTCGTTTTCATCGATGTGATTGTGTTATTTCGATGGTTTGTTGCTTGGATTAGATAGAGGACACTTCAATGAACATTTAGCAACAAACGGAACTGAATTTGGTTGAGAAATGAGGGAGATATGGCCAAACGAAGTCGGACCAGAAAGCTGTTTTCGCGAGAACGGGGCTGGAACGGACGGTCTACTGGACCGGACGTTCTGGAAGTCCAGAACGGGCGTTCTGACTTCCCAGAACGGACGGTCTGCGTTCCAGACTTCAAAAATTATCCCGAGAGGCCCCGGGACAGCATGGGACCCCTGGAACGACCGTTCCACACCCTGGACCGACCGTTCTAGGGTACGAAACCCCTTTTTCGGATGATTTTCGAATCCCGCGTGCGTGAGATGTGCGATGCAACGACTGGAGTGACTCATTGCGTGATTATTCTGGGTAGTTTGCATGGCGTTAATCGGTATCTCGGTCGGGACCGAATACCACGATACGCGTGATTGTATTGGGAAGATATACACGTTGATTGCCATGTTTGTAGCTCACTCGTGCGACGAGTGCAGCATGATTGTGTTTGTGATATAGTCGTGTGCGACACGACGGCCAACGTCATGGACTTGACGGGCGTGCGAGACGCCCCTAGTCATGGACTTGACTAGGGCTATGGCAGAACCCTATGGTGGACTCCATACGGGTGTTGTGTTTATTGTGTCATGGACTTGACACGGCCAACGTCATGGACTTGACGGGCGTGTGAGACGCCCCTAGTCATGGACTTGACTAGGGTTATGGCTGGACCCTATGGTGGACTCCATACGGGTATGTTTGTATTTCCGTTGTGTCATGGACTTGACATCGGAGGTCACGCGAGTGACAGGCGCAGGAGACGCGCGTAGTCGCATGTGATGCGATGGCCAACGTCACGCGAGTGACGGGCGTGTGTGAGACGCTTCTAGTCATGTCGATATGACTAGGACCTTTGGCTAACCCTATGATGCGATGTCATATGGGTATGATTGTGTTTGACATATTTGTGACTGATGTGATGTGATTATATATGTATATCATTGTTGTTGTTGGTTGTGAATTATTGAATTAACACCGTTCTCGCTGAGAACGGGTTTACCGGGTTCAACCCGGGCTACTCACTAAGCAGTTGTGCTTAGCCCTCGTGGTTTATATTTTTCAGATCACGAGGATTACGCCTAGCGCATCCGGCAGACGACGACCTGAGAGAGGCAGCATCATGTACGGGATTTACATTTTGGGTTACGGAACTTGTATTTCCCACATTTTGTACGGTTAAATTATGACTTTTCGGACATGTGTTGTTTTGCGATACTGATCGCTTGTATTTTCCGCTGTATAATTTGGTTTGATTAAAAATGTTTTTGGATTTCGTATTTTCGCTTCCGCAAATTATTATTTTATTGTTATATCGTCCATGTGGCACAGCCTGTAT